CTGATTAACTGCGTCTGGGCTCTGCTCCGGACCCGGCACCGCGGCGCTGGCAGCTGCCAGCCCTCCCGGGACTGGGGTTTTGAGCCTTGCTGGCATCGGGGACGAGAGGATGATGGCGTCATCCTGGGGTGATGGCAGGACAAGCGATGCCCAGCTGTGCCCATGCATCCCTGTCTGCCAGGGCGCCGGGGCGGCTCTCGGCAGGCACCCAGCAGCATGGATTTGACGTTGGGGGTGGCTGGTGTCACTCTCTCCCACACGCTGGCATTTGACGCAGGTCCTGTAAAGGCTCCCACCCCTCCAGGACCCCTCAAATTCCCGTCGGGTTTCCCTGCCCGTGCTCCACTGGGATCTGCCACAGCCCTGTGTCCATGGGGGACTTGGCTGCAGGACACGTCCCCAGCCCTGCGCTTTCGGCAGTCTGCGTTCCTCGTGGTGCAAGAGCCTGGGGCCAGCCTGCTCCTTCCTGAATCAGCCAGGACATCAGTCACTGGTGGTCCCTCACTGGGGTGGAGGGGACCTGCCACCACCCTGCGATGACTTCGGAGCTCCTACAGAGCAGCTGTGAGGACAGGGGTCCCACTGCCCCTGTGGCAAGGGGTGTGGGGGCTCCCCGGAGCAGGGGTGGTTTGCCAGAGGTTAGTAAGACCACGGCTGCAATGACATCAGTGCACCCAAAAACAGGAGAACCCAGCGGCAGCCCCGGCCCCACTGGTGGTTGCCCCATGGGGGAGGTTCATCAGGTGCAAAGCCATCAGCCATTCCTGGTATTGCACCTTGCTCTCGTGTGGAAAAACACCCCACAAACGCAGCCCAGCGCCTACCTTGGTACTCCAGTTTCCTCTTCTCCAGCTCAGCCTCAATCTGGTCTAGCACCATCCCCAGTTCGCCCAGGATCTTCTTCAAGTAGTTCACGTTGTCGTGCTCCAGGATCTTGGCCTGGGTGGAGAGCGGCGTTAGGATGGGGGATGGATGGATGGATGGACATGCATCCTTGCAACTCCCCTGGGACGTAAGGCACCGGGTGCTCATGGAGGGCCCACGGGTCATGTCCCCCCACCACCAAAAAGATGTGTGTGGCTTTGACCCACTTACCATGAGTTTCTTCTGCTTGGAGAGGTAGGGCTCTGATAGCTGTGGCTCCTCTTCGTGGTCCAGCTTCATCAGCTCCGTGTTGGCGTTAGCTAAATGTCCTGGGAGGAGACAGAGGGAGGGGCTGTGCTTGGTGGGGGTAGGGATGACCTTGTGTCTGGTAGCAAAGCACCTCATCCTGCATGTGAAATAGTGTTGTGGCACCAAAAAAACCACCCTGGAGAGCTAAAATGGGCCAAATTCATGGCTCGCTGTTGCTGTGCTGCCATGCAGGTGGGCACGTGGCTTCTTCTCCCCTCCCATCCACTCATGGCAGGGCAGCGCTGGCTGCGGGGTACGGCAGATCTCCCTCCCTGACCGTGGCGAGTCCCAGCTCTGCGGGTTTCAGGGGGGGTTCAGCTCTTCATTTCCTCTGCCGGATTCATATTAGAGCTGCTAGCAGATCTCTGTCTCTCTCCGTCTCTTACTGTTTTAAGAACATCCCTGAGCTTCCCCATAACCTGGTTCCTGCAGCTCCATCCCCAGCAGGTCAATCCTTTGGGATATCCAAGCCGGCTGCCTACGTGTGGGTGTGCGTGCAAAGCAGCGGCGGGGAGCGGCACGGGAGGGGATGCTTCCTCCTGAACGAAGCTGTCCTGCCCCAGCTCGGTGTCCGGGAATGCAATTTGGCAGCATGGAGCCCATTGCGACCTCGGGAGACATGCCCACCTTCCCCCCTCCCAGGGCACGAGGAGGATGCGAAGGGCTTTGTGCAAGCGAGCTAACAGAGGGAAACGAGCAGAGTAAATGGAAGAAGAGAATACGAGATATTAAGAGTAACACTTCAGGGACGACATAAATTACCCGAAGCTGGGCTAATCTCTTCCTGCCAGGGACCATCTGTCTCTCCCTCCTTGCTCCCTCCAACAAGGGCTTGGCTCTGCCGATGTGCGGGTGCGGGAGGTGCCAGGGCTGGC